ATATAATATTATTAGAAATTAAGAAGTTATATTAGAACATAAAAATCTTTCTTAGCTCTTTTACAAAAATTCGGCTACAGGTATAACTGTCAACCCTTTTACTACGTCCACATCGGCTATAGCCATTTCATGCACATTTCTGGCGTCGGGCTCCGTTCAGTGGCTGTGTTTCGGCGGGATTCGGTCTCTTTCTCAAATTGGAACGACTCAAGAATAACATATAACAATTAACGAGAATTAGGAATTGGAAGACTTTGGAACTAAGAATTATTCTTCCAATTTTACTGAAACGAACACGATACAGAAACGTAAATTCTGTAACGGTACTACGCGATCCTTGTTCCATCGTAGCTAACTGTTTGCTCACTTTCAGGCACTTGTATCGCATGATGGTGGCACCCGTACGTCACTCGGTAATTTGTTTACAAGTTGGACGGTGTCGCGACAAGAGAAAATCGAAAACGTAACAGGGGCCTCGCCGGGCAATTACCAGCGTCGCCGGTCGCTCGATTTCGAGCAATGGCGAACGCGGTTACGTTATTAAAATAATCCCCCTTAAAATTCATGGCCGTTGTAATTTCAATCGAACACGAGCACCAATCCACTCTTATTACACAGGCTGCATCGGCGGAGATGCAAATCGGGCTGGCTGTTCGTCGCGGCCCTGATATCCGATTACAAGATCGAGGGTACCCTATTACGATCGATTCCGCGAGCGTCGGGACGCAGCGGCAACAGGAAACGAAACGGGCGGCCGACACCCGCCGCGATTCGTTTCGCGTTTTCAGCCAGCGAGAAAAAGACGAAGGAGGAGGATCGAGCCAGAATCTGCCACGGTGCGGCCGTAATAAATATCGTTCGAGAAGCTCGTATCGGACGATCTGAGCGCGATTGTATCTAATAATAATCAGCAACCGTTTTACGACCACTGTCCAGTCATAAACACCGCATCCTGTTGGCCAATTAACTGTTCGCGACTAAGAACTGCGCGCATCTGTTGTTTCTGTTGTTGGACGAGCGTGATTCAGTGCGACGAACATCGCCGGTTGAAGTGACTGAATTTCCAATCTGCTGGAATTTCGTTTCGTTTTTTTTCTGTCTGATGAATTGATTGGATCTTTTTGGTCAACGAATGGTCGTTGTATACGTTCAAGCATTCCGAATTTTAATAATTGATATTAATGATAAATTTAATGTTAACATTAAAGACAAATGACGAGTGGTGTGTTGGTGGCAGATTGCTGTAATTTATGCAAACTTAAGTTCGAATTTTATTTATTAAATATTGTAATGTGTGAGTATTTCGGGGTATTTTTATATATATGTAACAATAAGTAAATTATATTTATTTTAATCCTCAAATAAATTATTACATAATTTATGCCATTCACATTCTCCGTGATAAATAAATAAATTATAATAATAAAATTCAATTAAACTGTTGAAATATTTCGAAGCCATGTAAGCCATGATGTTATAGTTTTTAATACACGAAAATTCATAATCGGCTGATCGCCTAATCTAAATGCCGGTCGCGAGTTAAATTTTCTAAAATCATCTCTCTCGCCCGAGTGGAAATTAATCTCCTAATCGCCGACTAAATTTCGCGTGTCAGCAATTAAATTTCGCGCAGGTACGAACAGACGAACCCCCGGTATCTAGCTAATCTGAACTGCATGACGCTTGCGTAAAAATACGCAATTCCCTAATCGCGGAACAGCATCGTTAAACTCGACGGGAGAAGTTTACGCAGCGGATCTGCTCGCAGATCACGACCATCATCCTCGTAAGTTCGAAACTATCGTTGAATCAGAGATACGGGGTAATTGCGGTGGTAACCGAGGAGGGGCCAAATTACGCGGGCGATAATTCAAGCGGCTGCCTCTTGATTTCCGTCATCGATTAACTTATCGTTCGATTGGACACGATCGAGCGCCGGCTCGAGCGGAACGCCGTGGCAGGCGCTCTCCGCGCCGGATCCGCGCGCCGGCTAACTGGCCTGGTCGCGCGGTTTTTCATCGGTCCCCACCGGCTCGCTTGTTATTAGCGAGCAGCGTGGCATTAGCGCGCGAGAGTAATACCGGGACATCTGTTCTAGTTACTTTATGTTAAGCGAGGAGACTCGCGGTCAGCACGGTAATTTCAGACCATTAGCCGCGTCCTTGCCGGCCAAGAGTTTAATCTCGAACGAAATCCCGATTTCCATGGCCGGACGACGCCACGAGCAAAAAAGGCGTCGCGCGACCAGGTGAAAAAGTAGAAAGGCCTGTCGCCTTTAGACACGCGCGTCGCGACTGGTGATTATTTATTTAGAAGGAGCAGATCGTGAAAAGTCATAAACGGATGGCTAGGATGACGGTTAAGACACTGATGGCAGCAGAGTGTGAAAAATAATGAGAATTGGCGAATTGAATTTCTAGAAATAACATTTCTCGAAACACATCTAGATAGATGGAATTGTTTCTTTAACAAATTGACGTATACGTGTATACGTATTAGTGTGTTTTTAATTATCTTAATCTCTCGAGTACGTATATTTTTCTCTCTTTTTAATGATCTTGTATTTATTCAGATTTAAACCACCGTTTTTACTTCTTCAAATTTATCGACGAATCATAATCAATGATGAACCTCATCTTCGAATAACCGAATAAAAGCAATTGCTTTACGAAACATCAATCCCAAAAATTATTTACTCTGCGAGAGAAGCGCAATAAAATTATTTCCCCCTATAAAACGATCTAACCCTTTTGGTCCATTAAATTCGAGTTAACGAGATAGCGTTCGGTTAAGAAAACGGACCGAATGACACGGACAGATAGTTACAGCGGCGTTTGCCAGAGTGGCTGCTCGCAGAATGGCCGACGTAACCCTTTTCTGGTGTAATTAGCAGCTGACAGATAATCACGTGACTCACAATCACGGTACGGCCTTAAAGGTGGCGAAACTTGGAAATCTATTTGATGGTAGTAGAAGTCGGTCGTTAAGAGTCCTAGCACGAGACTAGACGGTCTTATCTCGCGGACGATCGATAAACCTGCTGCGAAATGGTCCCGGGAAAATTTAAATTGCGCGCGATTCGACTGTAATCGTCCTTAATCGGTGCACACTCTATAATCGCCTCGTGAAAACGACGTTCGCGATCTCTCCCCTTCCTTTTTCTTGCCTTTCGTCGTTTCTCCCGATTGCGGACGACATTTCAAATGGAAATAATACGACGTTATGTTCGGCGAAACGTGTTGATCGCCGCGCTATGAGAAGAGGATGAGCGATCTTTGATGTTCCCGCGAAAATCGAGATACGAGTAGAACGTTCAATGTTTGTATTGGAGAGGTACATCACGTACAATAAAAGCGTAGCGTCGAAAAATTTCTTTTCAAGTAAAATTACAACCTGGTTCAGTGGTTTGGGTGTATATATATATATATATAATAATTGCCAAAAAGGATATCTAATTGTACCTCATAGCTTGCTATTTTTTAAATTTAATTAGTAGAATTAATTTGAAATGGTCTGTGCTATTCCATGCTACCATTGTCTGGGATTTGGTTATAGTTATTAATTTTGCAGGTGGAAATTTCGTAAGGAATTTAATTTTGGTAATTTCTGTATGATTCTGTACTATTTATTTATGTAATTTTGTTCTCTCAATTGTGTTGTACGTAAATATAAGGAGATTTAAATTTGTGAAAGGGAAGAGAGAAACTGTAATAAAATATATTTTTTTCCTTCCGTTACAAAAGATTTATGTAATTATTTTGTTCTCTCAGTTGTGATGTAGGTAAATGTAAGAGTTAAATTTGGGGAGAGGGGGAAAAGAGGAACTGTAATGAAATATGTTTTTTACTTTCATCACAAAAGATCGAAGAAGATGTGATTTATTCACCTTCTTGCGACATCGATTCTATCGTATGTCATAGTATTTAAATTCTTTGAAATTCATCGTTGTATCTCCATGCATCATTTTGCGCTGTTTCTTAGGTTTTGAGTATTGGGACTCGTTACCGAAGAAATTCCACATCAACAAACAATCGTCTGCCTGAATGGCTACAGAAAATATATATATATATATATATTCGCATATTAATTTTCTTAATGACATTACAACTCTAAGACGGATACTTCACGAAACAATGGAGATTAATAACACTAGATTCTCTCCTGAACGAATCGTGCAAAAATACATATTCTTTTCTAATAGTCAATATTTTCCAAAAAAATTCTAATTTTTGTTATTAGAGAAATACGAGTGTGCATCAATGTTTTACAGGAACACTTTTTTGTTAAAAAAAAAAAAAAAAGAACATATAAAACTTGGTCGGAATTAAAAATCTCTGTACCGTTATATTCAACGTATCTTCCAGAATGAACACATGAAAACACATATACTTTGAACATCCACATCATTATTATTGCACTTACAGACAGCATTTTACGCAACCCAAACCAACTATGGTTACACGAACAAAACCAGATACGAATGCCATCGGAATTAATGGTTTTTACACGTATCTATCTTTATCTATATGTTTATCACATAAGAATATTTAAAATGATCTTCTTCCCGTTAATTAGAAGCTTCGTCCTCATTACGTTTCTTACGACACACTAAACTGAGGATTTTTATGAGAAAATAATTAATTTTTTATGAGAAACTAAGGTGGATAAGGAAATAGGCTTCACCTATTAAATATTACAATCTTATTTTCAATCTCCCTCTATTACGTGGATTCTATGTATTTTTCGAAAATTTAAAATTTCTCACAAATGCATAAAAATCCTCAATCTACCCATCATTCGATCCAATAACGATTCCACAGTCTCGTCGAACGAAATAAATTTTAAACAATTTTTTGGATTGGATTAATTAATAGAAATATTGAAAAATTCCATCACGAATCTAATCTACCTATCACCAGTCCAACATCACGATTATATAATTTTAAATAATTCTAGACAGATTAATTAACAGAAATATTGAAATGATGTGTTCCACGTACCTAATTGCGTGTGATCAGAGTTCCACATAACAGCGTTCACTTGCATTTCCTTGTCCACGGGTAACACGTCCACTATGCGATCAAGACTCGCGAAAACCGGCATCACGGTGCGTTGCTTCCTTCCTTTCAAGTACGACCAATGAACGACTAATTCTCCGCTGTGCTTGTTCCACAACATATTCTCCACAGCGCCATTAAACTTCACGTCGCGATAAGTTGGCGGATTTAATTTGTTCATGTTCCAAAGAGACAGCGAAGCGTCACCAACACCACCGCCGATGCACAGCACACCGTTCTCGTATGGTTGCCAAGCCAACGACTGGAACATTCGTTTCAGAATTAGAAATGACAGGATGTTCTTGACGACATTTCTATTGAATCTAGAGACCGCTATTTTGTTTTTATAATATCAAGATTTCTAGATCAGTCGCGTGAAAATGTTAAACGATATAGGCATTTGGATTTGATTAATTAGTATATAAGTTGCAATAGAAGCAATGAGGTGCCAACAATAGTTTTTGTACTATGATACAATACATTTTGTCAACGAATTTCCAAGTATTTTCCAAGAAAGGCTTCGTGTTTGAGAAGAATTGACTCACCGTCACGGATTCGTAATAAATAATGTCCAGATGCGGTGAGAAATTTGTCCAGTTGAAAATTCGTATGTTTTTGTCCAACGCAGAAGAAGCGAGATATCGATAATTCGACGAGAATGCAAGCGCCACAACAGTCGCTGACTGTATTTGAAATAAATGAACAACTTTGCCATCCCTCGCCGAATAAACTAGGATTTCCCCCTTGGTGCCGCTGCAATGCGTTAAAATATAATCTCCCTAATTTATACCGTACGTATCCTCGAGCAATTTTCTACGAGCAACTGAAGTACGCAATTGAAAGCAAAAGTCCTACAATTATTATCGTATTGAAATGTATATAATGTTATTAAAATTATGTTCACACATAAGTATAAAATTCTTAATAATAACGATAATAATATTACATATGATCAAATACATTAATATTTGTTATAACAATAATAATGATAATAATAATTCCGCTCCCTCACGCAAATGAATTAATATTCATGCAGCAGAATAAATAAAAAGTGATGTCTGAGAATACTTATGGCAACTGGAGTCTCGCGGCCGATTGAAAAATATTTTCCACGCGGCGTGTACAAACGATCCGTGAATGATTATGGTAATTAAATCAATGACATTTATCAAACGATATCAGATAGTAATAAACTCTCGTTAACCGATGCAAATGATGAACAGTAATGGACGTCGTTTATGTCTATCTTATTTATTCGACGAATCTTTATATGGACAGGTATTACTCACACGACGATATGCTGGTCGTTCTCAGACCAACAAATGCAACGCACAATGTTGCTGCCTGTAACCGTCCAAATCATCTTTTGCGTGTCTATGCAGTAAAGTTGCACTTTTAACATCAAGGTGCATATCACCAGTTTGTTGCCTGACGACGAAGAAGAAACGTAAAGTGTTCTGTCAGACAATAATAATCAAACCGTTTGGGAGGAAAATAAAATTTTACCTGCGTTGTTCCATTTTATCGCGCAAACATCCGATACATCCACGTTATTCGGAGATTGATAAACGTCAGATTTGTTGGTGTCGTAGAATGCCACGCAGTTCTTAACTGCTGTAGCGATGAAATTTTTCGAGCCCCAGTCGGTGAGTTCTTTGTAGGAATAGGAATCTTAAAGAAAGAAATCAGTATTCTTTAATTCTTGTAATTATTTCCTCAAATATATTCTATGAACATCTACGCTGTGATACGCTGTGACACCTAATGAAATAGCAATAGCATTATATAAAAATTAATAAAAATCTATAATGAAGAATATTGTTTGAAGTTAGTATTCGACAATGAAAGAACATCAGAATAATGGAAACGAGTGCGAATGGAACTCTTTCTGTCTAAATACTGTGAAAGAGAACTATGAATGGACGTTGAAGTGGATCGACGAAGGAAAAGTGTTGGTAATTCGCAACAACTACTAACTCGTTCGCAAGTATGCCAGAAAATTCTTACATGGCAGCGCGTCGTATCCAGGCATATCTAACATACAGTTCATCGTGCCTATTAAAGGCCGCTTTCGTGGCTTCGATTTCCACATTCCATCTTCCAGGTCGTCCCACAGGTCTCTAGGCAGGCCAGCTAAACTTCCAGGTATCTTGTTTTCCCGGGGCAAGCGGTTACCGCGCAGCACTTGTTTCTGTCTCAGCCCCGGTATTATGTCACGGTCCACCATTAATTGGTGCATAAGCTTCTTTCGCCATTCGGTCGACAGAGACTTCACCTGTTTACAGTTTGTCAGAGGTTTAGTGGAGATGGACTTGAGGAGTTTAGTCACTTGCCGCGAAAAACTATAAGTCATCTACTCGTAATTTACACTTTGTTCTCTTTCTTTTTTAAATTTCCTTCTCTTTCAGAGGAAATAAGATGTACGGGTTTTGAGAATGTTAGAGAAACTTTGAAATTCACGAAAATATTTGTAAAATATTGCTTCTTTCTTGTATTTTATCTTCAAGAGGTTACAAACTTTTCTGATTATCTTCAAGAAATTAGACACTCGAGTGACTCGAATTCGCCATACTCAGAATTTCGTTCAATTATAAAGGAGGAAATTATAAAAATTATTGTAGCTATTTATGTCCTCTTTCACCTTACACAATATTACAAGATGGTTAACTCGTTTCCCCCAGTTAAGTCATTATTTTTCGCAATCAGAAAATAATTAAGCGAAAATCTCATCGTTATCTACGTTTGATAATTTTCTAAATTATCAACTATTTCTCCATTCTGTGAATTGAAGACTACTCTCTCTCTCTCTCTCTCTCTCTCTCTCTCTCTCTCTCTCTCTCTCTTTCTCTAACACAATCTCAGCAATTTCTTTCATTTTCAAAACGAAAGTTACATTATTATCGATTATCGCCATAAATCGCACCATCGTGCATCGATGAAGCTATTCACAGAGATTCATTACGCGGGAACAAGGATAAAGCGAAATATCCTGGTCGAATGTCAAACGAGAAGAGTGAACGGACAGGCAACGAGGACGAGGTGGAGAAGCTGGCAGAGGAAACCATGTTACCATATTACAAGCAATATTATCATAGTTGCGTTACACGCAGGAAATTGCATTCCTTCGAACGTCTTCTTCGGCGATCCGAGATTTCGTGATCTTTCCGTTTAATTAAAATTTTCCAATTTCTTTGCAGCTCGTTCCTTTCTTCTTCCCTTCTATATTAAGCCATCCAATGAACGCTCGATAAGTTTCCACCGTTGATTCCTCCGGTATTTTGCATCAGCTCTAAGTGGTTTCGAGGGAACGTAATTATATCTACGTAAGTACTTGCAATTTCGTCCAATCTTGGCGTCAAAAAAATCTTTTAAACTTTCCATCGATATGTTTTGTTAATTTTTTCCATCGATGTTTTTCCTCGAACTCTTACACTTAACGATGAGTGTCTAAATGAATAATTAAAATTTGTAGAAAGAGAGAGAATTTTAAATATTTTTTAATTCATGAGAACTGCACGCATCAGTAATAAGTCTTCTAGACCTCTAGAAAATGTTTCAATAAAATTTCGAAATCATAAGGAAACTTGCTTCTCTTGAAGGACAACGGAATTCAGGATAACCTTCTCCAAGAAAATTTCATTAGAAATTTTTCAAAAACATTTTTCTGAAACGGCTCAGTAATTCTAGACGTTGCGAGCCAATTTACCGATATAGCGCCATAAACGTCCCAGGAATTTATTACATTTTTGTACCACGAATTCTCGTTAGTTTTATAAAATATTAACGCCGGATTAAGCGGTACACTCATTCTGACAAAAAAAGAAATCATCCCTCGGGAGGCTACGAGAGGCAACGCGATAAACGCAGAATCGCGAAAAAGAAAGAAGGTGGAAGTCCTTTGTTTTTTTTTTTTTTTTTTTCCTCTGCCAGTCTCCTTTTTATTCGAGCGCGAAACTTCAATTTTCCCGACGTTTAAGAACAGTAATTTCCCGCGCGATGAGCCGCTTCTACGCCGTGATTCCGATCTTATCTCTATCGATTATCGGAGATTACATGCCCTCATCGATAAACATGAACAAGATACCTCGCGCTCGCATCCGGACAGCCTTTATGCTAATTCGACGCTCGACGTTGCAACAGCGTTACGTATGCAACTACTGTTTCGCTACTTTTTCTTCCCGTTTTCTTCCCGGCGACCATTAAAATCGTTTAATGCGATCGTTCGTATGCATTGACACAGAGGAGGATGTTTCCGAATCAGCGAGCGTGCCGTTTAAGATTCATCCGTTCGCGAAATTAACGACACTGAGCAAAGAGATTGAAGGCCAGTCTCTTTACGTTCAGCTATATTCTGTTGAGAAAGAATAGCTTACCTGCTTCAACACGTCGATTTCATTTTCGTTCAACTTATCCTTCGACTGTTTCGTTAAAAGGTAATTCGCAGCTTCCTTGTTGTAGTTGAAATTTATGAATCTGTCCACCGTGTAATTCTGGTTTAGGATCTTAAATGGATACGTTTTTATCACTTTTGTGGTAAGTTCCGCAGCGATTGGTTGAGAATTGGTGACAATTGGTTTCGGACCATCTTCCTGAAAAAATACGTACGACGACGTTAATACGAGGTATTTTTTTTGAAATTAATAAACTTTTGCTGCGTAAGAATAGAAAAGTATGAAGAAATAATAGTAATAATAATAATATTAAAATAATAAATATTAATAATTAAAATAATAAAAATAATATTAAAATAAGAAATATTAATAATTAAAATAATAATAGTAATATTAAAATAGGAAATATTAAAATAATAATAATAATATTAAAATAGGAAATATCAAAATAATAATAATATTAAAATAAGAAATATTAAAATAAAAAATAATATTAAAATAAGTAACATTCAAAAAAATATATAATTCATCCTCTTAACCTTGTGGTATCATTTATAATAAAAATGCAATATTAAAATTAAATTAAATTAACAAAATTAAGAATACATTGGAAAATTGCGAATTTCTCTGAAAATATTATCAAGATGTGGAAATTTATCAATTGCAAGTTCCACCCCTCGTTCTTTAAATACGAAGAGAAAAAAATTAGGTCGGACGTAAAATTCAAAATTTTATTTCATTGAACGAAGATAAAAGACACGTTTGGCAAGATAATTTGCGCTGCTGGCATTATGCATGTCTGGCGGAGTAAGGTATACGAAGGGATAATATTTATATTGAGAGCAGGCCTTATACCCCCAACGAACGAACGTGACAAATCTGGTTTCGTACGAATGACAAATAGAACTGGGCCTTGGACCTGATCTCGTCTGGATTTTCTGTACGCAGCGTAAGAACAGGTTTGGACTTCTTATTCTTTTAAACGACTTCTCAACGCTTGTACTGGCTATCGATTTTCTCCCGTTGATTAAATTGAAATGCAAAACTCTCTAAAGACTGTTTTTTCCTTTAGTTTGTTGAAATCCTTGGAATTAAGATTTTGTATTTTGAAGTCGTTAACTCTATAATCTGAAATCCCGTGATATGTACGATCGTACTTAAGAAACTTAGAGATCCTAAAAGTTTAGAAATTTTAAATAGCAATAAAAAAAAAATGGAATATGTCGAAAATTTCGATTAAAGATTCACGCAGGGAATAGCAGTAAAAATTCGAGATTAACTTTCAACCAAAAATTGATCTCGAATTAAACTGGCTGTCAGCTCAAGTACTTGAACAAATTGAAATCCTCTCTGAATGTTGTTGAATTCATCAAGACGAGCTCGTGCGGACGCTGCTCGACGAAGGGAAGAATTCTCAGAATTTATGCGATTCCGGGGCCGAAAATCGCGGCACAGCAAACGTCATTACCGGGAATGAAAATCGCGACAAACGTTAGTGAAATATGACGATTATAATTCATGCACGCAGAGAGTTATACTTTCAAAGGATTCAGCGTGTGTTTGTTAGCCCGTGTGCATGACGTTCGGGACTTATTGCGCGCAGAAATTCCTATAAATATACCTGGGCTCTTCTTCTCAACGTTGCACGAACGGCCACGAGCGAAACGAGCTTCTGCCACGGATTTCCGGGACGATACTTTAAACGGGAAAGCAGAGAGGTGGCATCCTAATTCCGAGTTACGATGGCGTTCCCTCGAGGCCGTTCTCTCGGCCCTAACGGTGAACGATCGTCCATTTAAATTGTTTGTATCGCGATTTATTGCTCCTCGCTTCTGGTTCCACGTTATGCGGTTTTCTTTCGAGGACGTCGCTGCAATTTCTTACGCGCTGGCATTTCTTCGCTTTTCTCCCATTCCGCCGTTCGCTTTTTTTTCCTTTTTTCCTCTCGATGGTAACTCACTTCTTCAATGAAATTGATTCGAACGGTTGAAACGGTAAATTTCACGTGAAACACGGTAGAAAGAGTATATAATTTATTTATAATTATAACTCTATTTAAATATTTAATAATTTATTTATAATACCATATATAACACTGTTTAATAATTTATTTATAATATTTAGAGGTATAGTGGAAGTAGGAACAGTAACGCGATAGAAAGAGTATATAACTTATTTATAATTAAAACTCTATCTAAATATTTAATAATTTATTTATAATACTATATATAACACTATTTAATAATTTATTTATAATATTTAGAGGTATAGTTCCAATTACAAGTATTAGGTCTCACTTGCGTGACATGATTAGAAAATTAGGTATTTTTTAATAGTAACGAACCATTAGAAAATTGTTTCAGTTTACAGAAATTTTGAATAAAGATTTACCTTCTAGCAATGTTTATCTTTTTTTAAATCAGATCCAAAATTCGATTCAGATTTTAGATAAACTTGGAATTTTGTATCTGTCTCGTGGAAGTTATTTGAATAAGTACATAGTAAGAAAGATTGTAGTCTCTATTTCTATGGGCAGACAAAGTTAACAGAGAATCGAGTTTTACTAAACTGGTTTTAGGGTTGTGCTCCATTCATACCACGTGAATAGGCTTCGCGTAATTTTTGAACTCAAAGGGAAGATGGAAAATTACACCTTTGGTACCTAAATTCTATATCGATTGATGATCTAAGTAATACTTCGACCTCGAAATTAAAGAAGTATAAAAAAAAAAAATTACATTAAAACTGGAGAACTTTCATACAAAACCAGTAATAATTCAATGGTTATTGCCTCGATAGAACGTCCACCAACATGCACCAATCAAATAATAACGAATCTAATTAATAAAAACGACGCCAAACAAACAATTGTTAACAAGATCGTGCATTTTCTTTTTCCAAAACAAGTTTGAACAGTTAGCTGTCAGGTTGCACAATGAATTTGTGGTTTAAAGTGAAGTCAATTGCACGTTTATCTATTAAAAAGAAAAAAGAGGAAATTATTTTTCAGCCAACTCGATACTTTGCTTTTTCACATTTTAATGGTTTTCTTACACTCTATGCATTGTGTACACATTTAAAGTTTCCTACGAATCAAAAATAAAATCCTCTTCCAATTCGTCCAACTCGAAAACCTCTTAATTACCACGTTACTCAAATATGATATAAACACATGACGAATTCCTTTCTCGTATTCTATTCATCGTACACAGTTTTGCACCATCAAATTTCCCACGAATGCACGATCAACGAAAGCTAAAATTCTTCATGGGAACTGATTCTTGCGCTGGAATGACGTGCCACGCATGTCGAGAGTTTTAAGTATATAATAAAACAAATAATAAATTTATTACTCCTCAATCATTTCTATCCAGAGATATCAAACTCGTCGGTTCAAAAAGAAAAAGAAATCGACGAATTATTGTATACAGTTTTGGTCACTCGTTACGGTCCGCAATCAGTTGCCCAGCGCAAATAGTCGAAACGAAACTAAAATCCTTTAACAAAAACTGATTCCCAATCATTCAGCAATAGCTGATCCTTCGACGAACTGCTAACGGCTGAATATTTCTTTTATAGAAAACGCCCTATCCCTCGACTGAAAGTTCTTTAAAAAAATTCTGAAAAAGAAAAGACCGATCCAACGCTTCCTCGAACCTTCTTCACGGCCATGAATTACCACCGAAAGCACATATACGTACGCCGTGAGAGACGTTACCAGCATTGAGACCGTCCTTAGCCACGTACGGCATACATATCGTCTGTATGTATATTCGTATTCTTATCGGCGCGAGGGGCCAGAGGCTGAATAAAATAAAGTCGTCGGTGTCGGCGTCGTCGCCGGGTGTATTTTCCGCTCGTGAGTGCCCCGCGGCGTTTTAAACACGCGATATGGCGTTAAGGTAGCAAAGGGGACCTGGGACCACGGCACCAGCCACCGGCCCATTAAATGTTGTACGCCCGGTAATTTATGGGGTGCGAGAGGAGAAACGTAACCACCATCTCCTCTCCCGTCCGGATGGTGCACATAATGCGAGCCGGCGCGCGTTGCATAGGAGACGATCCTCGCGCCCCTCCCTTCCTCCTCCTGTCGCGGCAACCCCGGTCGCCACACAACCGAGTGTCGACCGTGCCATTTGCATAAAGCTGGACGGGACTATGGGATGACCAGGAGGCAAAGGCCGCTCTCGGAGATTAAACGTCCGAGATTTCGTCGGCCGTGTTTCTTGCACGCTACTCACGCGGAAAATCCGTCGGGGATTCCGGCTTATCCGTTTAAGACGAGAGCCCCGTGCACGACGAGGCGCGCGTGTGGAAACCGTGGATCGAATTTTATGGGCCGAGGTGATGATTGGCCCCGTGATGCCCGTGGGAGAAAACGGGGACGCCACGGGATTACAGGTACGAGGCCACGGGAGAATTTATAATACCTATTCCTTTCTCCGTTCCGTGTATCTTGTTTGAAATAATATCGACGAAATATCTTATCTGTCGATATTCCGAGCTGTTAGCAATCTTCGAGGTGAAGAATATCACGTGACGATCCAGCTTTAGCTTCGTAAAGATTCTACTTTGATAGTGTGTCGTGTGTTCGTTTTTTTTCGAGAGAAAAATGGGCTTGCGACGAAAGCATCGAGAAATCTTTTTCATTGTTGGTTTCATCGTTTGGTTATCAAAGATTGATATTTTCTCTTTACAGCTGGAAACTTGCCGTGTAACATATTCTCCAGCATTTTATCGAACTTTGAATATCAGGATCGTGCGATGAAACGTCAGGGTTTCTTCAATTTTCGTTGTTTTAATCCCAATACTGAAAAGTCGGTGCAGCAAGTTTTAAGAGAAACGTCAATCTTCGAAGTTATCCAGTCGTGGGGGGAATTTTTCGATGCGTTTTTTCAGAAACGTTTCAAACTTCAATTAATCACACTGAGAAACTGTGTTCACGTTCATTTTCATATGTCGAGGATTCCTTGAGTTCATTCTCACGAGTACTGGAAAAGATGAAACTCGGGGAAGCTCATGGAGAACCCAGGTCCCACGGTGGAGATCAAAGGAGTATCACGATTTTCTCGCCACTGTCTTTGAATGCTTGACATTCGAAGCCAATAAATTCAGCGGTCCAGCGACTGATTTGCATGAAGCTAAAACCTTAAAAACTGCAAACAGCTGTCATGGCGTTGCGGTAGTAGGAAGTCGCG